AGATAGGAAAATGGGTTGAATTGAGCGAAGGATTCTGGGATAATTGTTAAGTTATTTTGAAAGGGGAATATAAAAATGGTAACAAAATAGATTTGTGGACTATTGAAGCATTTGGACAATCAATGTAAAATAATATTAATATTAACAAATTTTAGTGGAGGTGGATCATATAATTAAGATTCTATGAAAATTGGAAACTGGATAGAGTTATGTGATGGATTTAATGGTGCTGCATAAATAATTTATCAAGGCTAATATTTAAATGGTAAGAAAGTAGGGAAGTGGGATATTTGTTATCGAGAGAATGAAAACCAAACTTTTATGAAAATGTAAAAATATTAAGAAATTTTTAGTGGTGGTGGATTATATGATTAAATTGCATCAGTTAAAATAGGAGATTGGATTGAATTAAGTGATGGATTCTGGGATAACTCTTAGGTCACATTTAATGGAGGGTATAAAAAGGGTAAGAAAGTTGGTAGATGGAGTAGTTATTTGAAGAAGAATTATGGGGATTTTTAAAATGTGCTAATGTAAAATTAGTATATCAAATTTTAGTGGTGGTGGATCTTACAATGAATAAGACTCTTTGAAGGTAGGAGAATGGATTGATGTGAAAGATTAGTTTATTGTGTCCTAATAACTTGTTTATAAAGGTGAATATAGAGAAGGTAAAAAGATTGGAACTTGGATGGAAATAGAAATTAGAAAAAATTAGACAAGGGGCATAGTGAATTATGATAAATGAAGTAAAAAATAAAAATAAGTTATAATTATTTAAAAATAATTAAGTTTGAGTTTTTTTATAAATTTGTTAGTTCAATATTGAATATAAATAACTAGTATTACAATTGATTAATACATTATCAATAAAGTGACTAACCCAAATTAGATTATTTATTAGTAAATACGACAAAAATCAACTAAATTTATTTGATGATAATGAATTCTAAAATATATTTATTTAATGGCAGATAAGTAAATACTAATTAAAGATGGTATTGCTTATTAAATATATCAGCATTCGTTTACATAATTAAAAAATAGATAAATCTAATATTTATGATTCTTAATTCTTAAATTCATTTTAGATATCTAATATATTCATTATTTTATAATAATAATTATTATTATCGTATTTCACATTTATACAATATTCATTAAAGTTCTAAATATCTAAATAATTTATATTATTATGCATTCTATAAAATATATTCCATAAATTTTTCTCTTGTTAGAAGAATAAAAATTTGAAAATAAAGACTAAATTTTGAATTCGAATATGATTATTTCTTAATATTAATTTGTTTATGAATTCAATCAATTTTTCATTTCATATTCTCTTATGAATCTCTCAAATTCCCTTTCTTATAACTCTCTTTACTCCCTTTCCCAGTGATCAAATCTAGGTTTTTGTGTTCCTTAGTGGCATTATTAGAACAGAATAATAAAATACATCAAAAATAACATCCCTGATAAAAATGCCCATAACATGCCTATTTAATATTGGAAAAAGAATAGAGAAGGAATCAAAATAACTAACCAAATAAAACATCTAAGTGCAGACCACTTAAAAGCTCTCCAACAAATCATTCCTTTAATTTCTTCTCCACATTTGAAACAAATCTAATTTTTAGGTTAAATTTGAGAAATTAAAAATGCCTAATCCATAAATTTTAATTAAATTAATTAATTAATCATCTATAAAAGTCAAATGTCAAGATGATTCAGATTTATTTTTTCCTGATTAGTTTATTTTCTTCTGATTTATAATAAAATAAGATAAAATTATCTATTTTAAACTTTAATAATATATTTATATATTAATTAATTGTTTCTTTAAAAACATATCTATTTTACTGATATTTAGATTATATTAGAACAATCTAAAACAGAAATCTAATGGAGAGCTAAAAATAAGTTTATGGATAACATCCTTTAGTAATTATTGGTTTTGTAATGAACAGTTTTTTTAATAAATTAATTTAATAATCAAAATACAATATAACATGTTTTCACTACTAAAAATTAAGTTTATTAAAGTATAATTATTAGAAAACTCTTATCAGTTTTGACCCTTATGATGCTAATTCTAATATAAAAATAATATATTCTCAAACAAAGTATTAAACCATATATTTTTTATTAATTTATAAATGGTATAGTTTACCTGTAGCACCCTTTCCTCAATACAATAATCCTGAAGAACATTTATGAATTGATTATTCATGAAAAAATCTTTAATTAAATCTTCTTTAAAATAAAATTAGATGTTTTAAAAGTCTATTAAAGAGAAGAAATTAAGGTTTATTCTAAGCAATTTATTTTAAATCAACTATCGAATATAATCAATTAAAATACTTTGGATATTCTCTTACTTGTCAAATTTAAGCACAATAAGTTTTTGAATTTAATCTTGTTTCTCTAATATAAATAAGTGTTAAGCTTTGTAATAGATTATAATATTTTTCGAAAAGTTTAGTACCATTCTTCTCTATAAATTGAATAGGAAAGGCAGTTTAAAAATAATTAATCAAATTATTGATAAATTCGACTTCTTTATTCTTTCTTTAGAGGTCACTATTCTTTCTTTAGATGTTGTCTGATTAAATAAAATTTAACTACATTTGTATAATTCTACTCATATTAATTCTAACAATAAAAACTACATAGTCATTTTCAACCTTTTGCTGTAAAAAAAGCATAATCCTTAAAAGTAGAGTATTATTTATTAACAGTAAAGCTAATAATGCTTCTATATGTGAAAATAGATATCGTAAAAATGCTCCCATTAAAATTACTTAAAATCCATAATTTGAAGAATATCAACAAGAAGGTTAGTGCATCTATAACCAATAAACATAGTTAAGACATATTATTAAGAAATGCTTATGTGAAAGATTTTAATAAAAAGACTGACAGTATATAAAGTAATTGTTAATATAATCAACCGCAATTTACATGTAATAAGTAAATTAAAATTTTCTGTATACTCATCTGGAATTTGTGTTGATTTAGTTTTTAAATAATTAGTTGATAAAAATAATTGCATAAAGTACAAGGATGATGCCATTTGCATTTAGAATAGATCTTTTTTTTAAAAATTAATTTTCTGGTGCCTTCAATCACGTTCAATTAAGAAGAATGTTAAAGTTGCCTATTGAGATGTACTTTGACAATAAAAAGAAAGGTTCTATTGATATAATTAACACGTTAAGTATTAACTGTTAAGAAGAATTGTGAATTGAAAACTAATTGTGAGAGATGAGGTTGGACTAGATTTGTTTGTCTTAATATCTTTAGAACTACTGCCAAACTAAGGTTAATTGTGGTGATAATTTAATTTTATGTGAATCCTATACTTAATTCTAAAGGTAATCTTATACTTAATTCAAATGGTTTGCTAATTAAACAAAAAAGATTGCACAGAATTAGTTGTTAATTGTGAGTCAATTACCATTACAGAATAATGTGTATATGGCAGTGACATAAACTAATGGAGTTAAAACATTTTTTTGGGATAAAACTAATACCAACTACAACGAAAAACATATGTAAATTCACCTAAGAAGGTTATGCTGCTTAGTTTTATTAGTGACAGGTGATGATGTGCCTAATAATGATTAGGCAGTAGGGTTGAAAGATAAAGAGAAAAATTCACTTTGTGTAGTTGGTAGAATATGTAAATTGCTTTTGAAATCCTGCAACTTTAAAATTTTTTGATAGAAATTTTTGAGTTAATATAGATTAAGTAAATGTATTCAGTTGGAAATTTCTAGCAGTGGATCATGTGCTACTAGAAAATAATGCAGTCATTTCTGCAACTGCTTCTGATTTTTCAATCAATTCTTTTATTGAACAATAATTATACAGGAAGTAATGGCAAGACTAAGGCATGTAAAACTACAGTGTTACTGACCATACAAATGGAAAATTTGTGATTATATTGTCCCTACTTATATAACTAAATCAGCTTATTTTGTTAGTCGAGCATGCAATAGAACACAACAAGATTACACTTTTTAAAGTTCATTCTTAAAATGCTACAGCCCAACTAGCAATATTCATTACTATGGAAAGAACACATTATGAAATATTGCAAGTAAATATTAATTAAATCATTATTATGTAAAGTAAAGCATAGGTATTTGTATAGGAAGTTGGTGAATATTTAAATGGGAAGAGAAAAGGGAATTGGATATATATTTCCAATAATAAAAAAAGTGTTCATTTTTATGAATTTTATAATAAGGATGGATAATACAATCAGTAAGGTTAAAGAGTTGCTAAATGGACATATTTAAATGATGATTTTAATAAAATATCTCAAGTTGCTTTTGATGGTGAATATAAAAATGGTAAAAAAGGTGTTTAATTGGATATTTCGAATAAAGATTATTGTTATAATAAACTTAGATAAATGTAAATACTTTAAAAATATTATATCTAAATTTAACGGTTGTGGCTTATATGATTAAAGAAATGATAGGTATGAAAATGGGAGATCGATTGAGTTAAGCGATTGATTTAGAATGGATTCTTAAATCACTCTTGATGGTTAATATAAAAATGGTTAGAAAGTTGGGAAATTTTATTGGAAAAACAGGAAAATATTTAAATAATGTAAGATAAAAATATTAAATATTATCTCTAAATTTAAAAGTGGAGGTGGATGGTATGATGATGGAGGAGATGAAATCAAAATTAATAAATGGGATGAGTTTAGTGAAAAGTTTAAAGATGAATCTAGTAACTTATAAAGGTGAATATCGTGATGGTAAAAAATTTTGTAATTGGGATGTTTGTAGGATTATATGATGAAAGAGGTAATGGGTATAAAATTGGAATTTGGATTGAATTGAGTGAGGGGGTTTATCCTAAAGTCACTTATGATGGCGAATATCGAAATGGTATAAAAATTGGTAGATGAGATATATTTAATTTTTATAATTAGGTGTAAATTACTAAAATTAAAAATACTAGGTTGGAATGCTTTAGTGGTGGTGGATTACATGATGAAAGTAATAATGGGTTTAATATCTGGAGATGGGAAGAATTTGTTTATTTATAAGAATTTACTTGTCAAGGTGATTACAAAAATGGTACAAAAGTGAATAGATGGGATTTTTTATGGAATTTTAAATCAAATTAATAAAGGTAGAATTAATTGGATTTATTTGTGTGAAGATTTTGAAAAAAGAAATACATAGAAGTTGGTGAATATAGATTTGGTAAAATTGGTAGATTGAATTTTTTTATAGAGGGGAATAGCTAATATAATCTACAGCATTGTAATGCTAAAATTTTCAACATTAATTGGTGGTGGTTAAGCTGATAAAATAGGTTATTTATGTAAGATTGAAAATGGAGAAAGTTGAGTCATGATTTTTGAGATTTATATTAATTCAGTTATAAAGGAGAATATAAAAACAGTAAAAAAATAAGTTTATGGGAAACTGAATATTAAGGGAAATAAGTTATTAAAATATTTTGAAAATTTTTTTTGTAGTGGTGGATTGTATGGTGAAGAAGGAAATGTTATTAAAATTGATTCATGGATTGAGTTGCACGATTTGTTTTCAGATAATTGTTAAATTATTTACTAGGGCGAATATCAATAGGGTAAAAAGGTTGGTCTCTGAGTGGAAATAAAGAGAAGGGCAAATTAATTGGATTTTAAAAGAGGAAAAGTGATAAAGTATGATGATTGAATAAGAGTATTTTTAAAATATTAATACAGATAATATTTTAATAAATTTTGGTATTAAGGCAGGATTTATGAGGTGTTTAAATTTTTATTGAATTTTGATAATTTTGTACTTTAATAGGTTTATTATTTTTTAGGTATATAAGTTTTTATTTTACTGATTGTGGTACTAAAAAAAATAGACTTGTATTGAGCGTAAAATTGTGTTAATAAAAAAAAAAGGATGGTGCTTCAATAATGATGAATGTATTTATTTTCAAATATTAATTACTTCAATAAAGATTAAGTTAGGTAGGACTATTTAATAGTATAAAAATATCTCAGCTTAATTTTGGTGATTAAAATCTTAAGTCTGGCTGAAAAATGAAGGGTTAATGCTATTCTACTGTGAGAAATCTTATATGGTAAAGAAATAATATACGCTTAATGATTGATGTTAAGGTTAAGATAGCATTGAAGGTCAATGTCTGAATTATTAATTGGAAAGTGTCATATTTTTCCATATACTATATTGAATTTTTTATACACACTAATAATAAAATAGTTGTTATTCCCTATTAGAATATTCAAAAGCATTTATGATTAATTTGCTTAACAGTCGATTTAGATTGAATGATTAATAAACTAACTTAAAGGAAGAACCAAAAGATTTATTAATTTCATCTTCAATAGAAAACTTAATTCTATATTTCACATCAGAGACATTATTAGTCTACAGAAATGATTTAGATACTCTAACATAATATACCTTATCTAACTATAAAGTTGAATGATTATTCTAATTATTAAGAAATTTACAATAAATATTTTATTAAAAGCCTCTTTTGAACAAATAAATTGATCGACTTAAAATAGATCAGTATCAAAAATTTTTTTATCGTAATTATATCTGGTTTATCAGTAGATATCCCAATATTTATAATATTACATCTATGATCAGCAAAAGCAGTACTGGAATAGGATATGGATAAAAATCAAATGTTATTACTAAACCGACAGTATTCGTAGTGCTAGTAACTGGTGAATTATACTAGTATATTACATAAAATGCCAACCTTTACATAATGGATTCTGATAGAATTCTTTTTTTTAATGGAAAGTATCATTAGCAATATGTTTTTTTTCAATTTCAATACTACTTCTAATAATATTGTAAGTGGGATCCTTTTCATTGATAGATGTGAATTGAAGAATTTTACACAATTTAATATTCAACAAACTTCAGAAACTAAAATAAGTATCAGATCTATCATCATTAAGAATTTCCGTATTTACTTATTCTTCATTTTTATAAAGTTATGATAACACTATGCTTTTTATTTATTCTTTTTAAATGATTGAAAACTTGATATTAAATTCGAAATTAATAAAGTTTATCCTTTAGCTGTAATTTTGTGCTTAGGTAAAATTGTTGTAGAGGATCAATTTTTTTTGAAAAGTAATTTTTTGTAAACGATCATTAAGAAAAAAGAATAGTTGATTATCAATTTTATTTCTAATATTTTCATCACTTTTTAGTCCTTGATAATCATTAAATAGAAATAGAACCAATTCAAATAGAGTTATAAACTTTATTTTTAAGTATAATACTAATCCTTAAAAGAAATACAAGATTATTTATTTATGCTCATTTCCTCTAGTATTTTAATTTAGAATGTGTCTATAAAAAATAATTATAATCAACGTTACTTTTATTTCTTCAACATTTCTATAATTTCTATAAGGAATATTTCTGTATAAAATAGATCTCAGATTATACAGTTCCCCTCAATTAAGTTTGTGCAATAAACAACTATTAACCTTTAAAATTATAATCTGTGAAAGGATTTTCAAGTTTTTATTTAGGTTTCAGAAAATTTACAAATTAGATTGTTATAGATTAATCTTCTATTGAAATTCAATCTAATGATTCAACCATTAATAAAGAACCTGAAATTATAATAATTTAAAACATTTCTTTTATTAGAAATATATTTTTGAAAATCAAACAAATAAATATTTGTTACAATAATATCAATTTATTCATATAAAGTATAGTAAATCCATTTTGAAAATGATATTGTATTAAGAAAATTCTTATGATTAAGATAATGAAGATGCTAAGTATATTTTTGCATGTTTGCTGTTTATTAACTCAATTAATAGTTCTATTCTTATTTAGAATATCATTTATTTCACTAAAAATCACTAGAAATACCTAAATTGTTATAAAATACAAAATAAATAATAACCATAAAGTAAATTAAAAAATTAAGATATATTTTTTTAACATTTTTTGATTAATTTTATTATTTCTTAGTCTTTTTTTAGCTACTTTATTTGTAAAAATAGTATGTTAGAATTCAAAAAAATATAAATACTTTTAAAATAAAAAATTAAAACAATCTGTTTTTTGTCTTTATCATTTTTTTGATTAAAATTGATAAGTTCAATTTCTTAAACTCAAAATTAATTATTTTTCTTAAAAAAAAATAATTAATATTTAATTTATATTATCACAATTGGATAGAATTATCTTTACTACAAGAAACTAATTAAGAACTTACAGGTAAAGAGCAAATGGATCGGACATAATCATTATGATTATCGAGTTAAAGTAACTCCTGTATTTTTAAATTATTCCATTTAAAATTAAATAATAAATCTCCATTCAAATTCGCTCCACTTATGTCTACATATGAAAATTCAGATCCACTCAAGGTACACTAAAATAAATTTGCTCCGATCAAAGAAGTATCTTTCATCCTGACATTTTCAAAGGATTGCTAATTAAAATTAACTTTCATTTCAACTAAGAAATTAAGTGAATTTGATCAGCACCTTATCAACTTATTATCTAGAACTGTTAGGGTAACTAAAAATTTAAAATATTCCCTCATCTTTTAATACTCTTATATTTTCTTAATTTGCTCTTGTCCAGTTTCTCTGTAAGTTTCTTAAGAATAATTATTTTCATTAAAATTATGATCTAATATTGTTTATATAAGGTTAGTTATCTTCTAAATGTTAGATTTTCCTATTAATAGTTAATATTCCTTTTCAACAAATGATAAATTTTTCACCTACAAAATATATTATTCATAGTGCTTTTCATTGTCAGGTTTTGAAAGAAATCTTAGACAATCAGAAATCTTTTCTCATCTTAATATATCAATTATTACACTGTAAAATGAATCATCAATATCTTTAGATGAAGCTAAAACCTCATACAAATCTTCTTTCTTTTTAAAAGTGCAAGACATATAACTTATTTAAAATAAATATTGATTATTATAAAAGCGAGTGAATTTTAACTAGAATTAAACATTTAGTAAAACGAAACAAGAAAGGTAGGATTATATTTAATATCATTAAATACTTTAATAAAAGTGTAAAGAATCGCCCAGCATCCATCAAAGAATTACATTATTATAATAAATGCATTGGAATTATTAGAAAAGAAATTTAATTTATATAATAATACAGACACTATTAGCATACTATAAGAATTATATTGAGTTTAGATTTAAACTTAAATATAGAAATTTGATAAGTGAATTAAGTAAAACGAAAGAAATTTACATTCTTCAAAATCAATAAATAATTTTCTTAAATTATTGATGATTTTTATCCTTAAATTAAAAAAATAACATGTTGTAATACAGCATTTATTTTCAATTACTTTTTAGAGCTACTAAGTCTTCATTTTTTCATCATAATTTTTCAATTTACATATTTTAATCTTCCTCTAAGACATCAAAAAATTACAAATATAATAATTATAGGTCTCATGACAAAAGAATTTAAATTTGTTTTCATTCCTAATATAATTATTTTGAATAAAGAAAATCAGAATCAATAAATTATTAATTGGAAAAATAACTTAACTTATAAATTTAAGTTATTAAATAAAATAAATATACTATTTGTATTTTTCATTATATCGTATTGCATCAATTACAGATAACTGTTCATTTAAAAATTACTTTTTCCAAAATTAGTTCATATAAAAATATTTTTGAAGTGTTAAATTATTTTTAAATGAATATTGATTCATTTACACTATTATTTTCAAATTAATCTTTTTTTCAAATTGTTCTTTTATATGGTTATCATTTTGCAACTAAGATATTTCACAAAATTTTTTTTCTACTTAGATTAAGATGAAATTTCAATCAATAAAGGGGGACAATAAATCAGTTTTAAACTTAATTTTTATCCAATCTTCGTAACCCCTTATAAATTCAAACCTAAATCACTTTCTCTTTAATTAATAGATTTGCACTTATTGTTTAATTATCATAGTTTTTTATTTTAACTTGAGGATGCTTTTAACAAAATGGTATTATGAAAAGAAATTGAGTTTTAGTTTTGAAGCTTTAATTTTTTTTTTGAGCTATTTGCTTGATTAAGAAATTCTTTCGCAAACGATTAATATGAAAAATCTTGACACCTTCACATAATGATTAAAGTTTCTTATTATTATTTTATTAAATATCCACTTTCAGAATTGCTCATTATTTAAACAAGGAGTTGATATTTCATCATCATTCTAACATATTGTAACTTTTATATATATTTTAAAGCAATATCAGACATACCAAAATCTTATATTGTGAACGATTCATTAAAATTTATTGTGAAAATAGATGTTTAGACAAAATAATATATATATTAACTTATCAAAAAATTAATCTTAATTGATGATACTATACTTCTTAAGGTTGCACTCAGAACTTAAAAAATAAAAAGAGGAGAAAAAATAAAAGAAACCAGAACCAAGTACTTTTATATAAGAAAAATTATTGCAATTTAACATATATAGTTTTACTGGATTATAATCATATTTGCTTTTATAAAAATTGATTTTAACCTTCCAATAAATAGCATCCTTTTTATTTTAAGAGTAATCCTAAATCAATACCTGATTGATTCGTAAATTATCCATTAAAAATCAGAGCTTCTTTTGCTTAAAAGATAAGTTTTTGAGAAATAAGAAGAATTGTAATTGGAGTGGTAGCTAATAAAATTAGAAATTAATACTATTATGGAATAATGAATTAGCTTTAAGAGGTAATTTTAATTAGGCAAGAATATCCTTTGAATTTTTCTCTGAGTCTAAGATTTAATTTCCTGTTTTAAAATCCCATAAGCGGATAGAACAATCTTTACAACTATTACGAATACCACTACAAGATGCTAATATAGTACCATCAGGTGAGAAGCATACTGAATTTACACAACTATCATGACCATCCAATTTGGCTATTTATTATCCTATCTAAACATCCCATAAAAGGATAGAAAAATTCCCTCCATTATAAGGATTACCACAACCAGAAGCTAATGTAGTACCATCAGGTGAAAAGCATACTGATATTACACAACTATCATGATTATCCAATTTGGCTAGTTATTATCTTGTACTGACCTTCCATAAAAGGATAGACTTATCATCACTACCAGATGCTAATATAGTACCATCAGGTGAGAAGCATACTGAATTTACACAACTATCATGACCATCAAATTTTGCTATTTATTATCCTGTCTTGACAACCCATAAACGGATAGAATTATCATCACTACCAGATGCTAATGTGGCACTATCAGAAGAAAAGCAACACGAATTGACAAGACTAGTATGCCCACATAATTTCGATTTAAATTTTCTGGTCATAAGATTCCATAATTTGATATGCTTATCATCACTACCAGATGCTAATGTGGTACCATCAGGAGAGAACTATACCGATCTGCTATGTACTTTTATTATTGATTTTTTTTGTCCTGTCTTAATATCCCATAATAGGATAGACTTATCATCACTACAAGATGCCAAGGTTGAGCCTTCAGGAGAGAAGCAAACTGAAAGGACATAACCCCTATGACCAATTAGAGTTGACTTTTATCGTCCCGTCTTAGCATCCCATAAACAAACAGAATTATCATCACTACAAGATGCGAATATTTTACCATCAGGAGAAAAACTAACTTAAAGGACAGCTCTAGAATGACCATCTAATTTTGATTATTATAGGGCTGCTTTAATATCCCATAAATGGATTGACTAATCAAAGCTACCAGACGCAAATATTAAGCCATTTGGAGAGAAACAAACTGATGTAACCCAACTACTATGGTCATACAACATAGATTTTAGTTGGCCTTTCTGCACATCCCAAAAACCGATAGAGTCATCACTACAACCAGATGCTAATGTACAACCATCTGGAGAGAAGCTAATTGAATTAACCCAACTACTATGGCCAAAAACTCTAAATAATATTTTTTATGCATTAACATCCCATAAACAGATTGAGCAATCTCCACAACCAGATGCTAATTTAGAACCATCAGGAGAAAAGCATACTGATATAACAGGGCTATTATGAGTATATAATTTTGCTCTAGATATCCCATTCTTTATATCCCATATATGGATAGAGTAATCTAAACTACCAGATGCTAATGTAGTACCATCGGGAGAAAAACAAATAGATTTCACATCATTTGAGTGACCATTCAATTTTGATTTTAATTTACTTTTCTTAACATTCCATATACAGATAGACTCACTGCTACTAGATGCTAATATATTACCATCAGGAGAGAAGCATATAGAATTCACAACATTAGAGTGACCGTTCAATTTTTATTTTTATTGTCCTGTCTTAACATCCCAAATATAGATAGAATTATCACTACCAGATGCTAATTTAGTACCATCAGGAGAGAAACAAACTGATCGAACATGATTGCTATAACCATCTAATATTGCAAATTATCTTCCTGTTTAAACATTCCATAAACGAATGGAACCATCTCCAAAACTTGATGCTAATGTAGTACTATCTGGGGAGAAGCATACTGACCAAACCACACCGCAATTGCCATGTAATTGATGCAATTGATTTATTTTTATATTTTTCCATTTACAATTAAATAATTATGCCCCATTCAAGTTCATTCCGCTTATACATACATTTTCAAAATAAGATCCGCTCAAATTGCATCTTACAAAGTTAGCTCCAATCAAAGAAGTGTTTTTGATCTTGATGTTTTCAAAACTTTGTTTTGTAAGATCAATCTTCATTTCAATTAATAAGTTTAATGAATTAGATCCACTTTAGATGAATAAGTTATCCAAAGATGTAAGCTGAACTAAAAATTATAAAAATTTGATGATCCTCTAATCCTCTTTTATTTTTTCCTTTAAACTTTGTCTCGTTTGCAAATAGATATCAGTGGAATAGTCAATTTAATTAAAATCATGGTCTCTTATTTATTTGAGAATATTAATTATTATCTTAATGTTATTTGTTACTACATTTAACTTCTAATCTTTATCAACCTATAATAAATTTTCTAATTGCAAAATGAATTATTTGAAATGTATTTGATTATTTTCTTGTTATAGATATCCTAAACTATCTGAAATATTTTCTTTTCTAAATATTTGAATTATCACACTGAATATTTATTCATCAACATCTTTAACATTAGCTAAAATCTCTGATAGATCTTCTCTCTTTTCATTAGTGCAATACATTTTCTGTATTTTTAATTTAAATTTCTATTACTTTTTTTTTTACTATTTTATAAATACTGTAAAAAAGTATTTATTTTTTATGGAGACTAAACTTTTTGTAAATTTAGAGATGATTGAAGTGAAAGAATAATTACTCTTTAGAAATATTAAAAACTATGTTTAATGATATATGATTTTAAGAAAATTAATTCTATATCACGAGTGATTTATTTGATCATTTTTTTATCATCAATGGAGGTCGATGCTTAAAAATTAACAAAAAATGAAAAAACAAGGATTAGTATTAACAACCTCTTAAATTTTCTATTATTTTTTATATACTTATGAATGTTTAAATGGTTTTATATTATAATGAATAATTATAATAGCTTGAGAATGTTTAATCTGAGTTTGTAATTGTTTTTGTTTATTTTCAATTGAATACTCAAAATACAATTAAAATTTAAACTTGCTAGAATTTATGTGTGATAAACTAAAATTTTGAGAGTGATTTATAAATAAAGTATAATCAGAAAATGTAATTATAAAATGTTTTTTCTTGATTCTGTCCTTTACAATAAGAAAAATTCAGCTTTAAGTCCTTAATCCTGTAGTCATAATTTGAAGCTGATTATAACTTTTCATAATTCATTCTCCAATTTCATCACCCATTTCAAAATAACTTCCAATAAAACTGTATGAGAATTTTTATCTACTTAATTACTTTACAGATTTCTTTAATCATATTGTTAAATCAAAATACATTTCTTTTTGATAAATCTTTTTATCTTCTCATTTCCGAATTTTATGAACTTTTTTTTTTTTATGCAAGTCTAATACATATTCATTTCCTAAAATACAAACTATTACTATTGATCTAAAGCTTTTGGAACAATAATAATAAAAATGTAAAATTTTGGTGTCTTGCTTTAATAGTTTAGAAAAGTAATTTTTTCATGTTCTGTAAAAAATTCAAAATTGCTTGAAATCACAAAAAAATTTTTTTGATTTGCAAATAAACACAATAGTATTACTTAGCAAACAGAAATTTGAAGCAATTTTGTTAATTTGTATAATTTAATTCAAATTACAACGAAAATGAAAATTATAAATAGTGAGCATAATAATAATTTTAAAACTCTGTTTCATAAAAAGAAGCCAAATATGTAAAAGTAAGGACAAAAATTAAATAACTTCTAAGAATATTTAAACCTTAAAAAAAAAATAAATGAATAATGAGTCTACCCAAAAGGATTTTGTTAAAAGATGGTAAAAATGTGATATAGATGAGAGAAAAATTTTAATTTTATTGATCACAATCAAGTAATGGCAACTGGTTTGGAGTAATGAAAGTATATTTTGAGAAAATTGAGATACCATTTATTGCTTGTTAGTAAATCAAAATTTTATGAGAGAGAAATTTGTAATAAAAGAATCAAAGAGATTGAATCCCTCTAAAAAGATTGTGTTTTATTGAAATCTAATTTTGTCCAAATAATTAGATTAAGTAAGGAATAGAGTTAATAATTGGAAAATAAAGTGCATCTAATAATTAATGGAAAATTGTATCGACATATGATTTCAAATAGAAATCATCATTTCTCGATCAAAAAAAAAAATTAACTTATCATGGAATCAAAACATTAACAATAGAATAAATTAATTTTATAAATACCAGCAATATGAAGAATTATCAAGAAAATTAGAAAATATTTTATTTTATGAAAAGACAAAGCGAAAATTTATATAGAAAAGGAAATGATTTAATTAAACATAAAATAGAAATATCTAATTTTTAAGAAAACTTAAAAAATTATTTCATGTTAGATGTTTAGAAAAATAGAAAAATCATTTCATTTCTGGTTCAGATGATTAAATAATATCCTTTTTCAATAATTTTTAAAGAATATTAGTAATTTTAATTCTTTAATTTTAAATAAATAGGAATCAATTTATATAAAGGAAAGGGATTATTATGAAGAATGAGTCGAACTTTTTTTACTCTTTACATAATCATGGCAATAGCGTATAATCAATTTAGTCAATTTTAATTAATTTAAACTCATATAGCATCATTTAGGTATCAACAATATATAATATGGGAGAAAGGAATTTAAGGTAAAATGGGATTGAAACATATTTATGAGTAGATTTAATTATTATCAATTGGCAAATTTCAAAAAATTAATGATCTAATATTTCTGAATTTAAAACTAAATGGAGCTATAATCTAAAATATAGAATTTCTTTATTCAATAGCTCATGCTAACAAATATTAACTTAAATAAGTTGTTCACAATACAGCATTCAAAGGCTTCTTAATATCAATATTGAAAAATTATGGGAAAGAAATTTCATAATTATTATTGTATTTTTTTTTAAGAAGATGTAGAATGTAATAAATATGCTTCATATTCTTAAGGATTGGTACATATTTCTTAGAAAATGTAATTTAAATTAGAAAAAAAGATTATAAATAATATTGAAAAGGTGGCGGCGATTAAGAAGAATTATCAATAAAGAGAGGGCCGATAGTATGACCCTTCTTTTTTAAGAGATTTATCACTTATTTAATAACAAAAAAATACTATTTCCATTATAACTTAATAAATTTGCTGAGTTTCTTATATTCTTAATCTTTGCAATTTAATATGATCCAGCGTAATTTGATTATATTTTCACTTAATATTTGTCTTTTGTTTAATAGGCATATATCCAGCCATCATTAAGACAATCAGCTTCAGATAGTTCATACAGAATCTTATTTATAAATAAGATCTGTATCAAGGAAATCAAAAGCATTTCAATAATAAATATTTATAATTAAAAGGAAAAGTTCTAGCCTAAATGAAGGAATTGACAAAATTAATTAACATTCTCATGTATCAATATTTAAGGATTAAATTATAAAAAGGATAGAATTAATAGTAATGACTTCTGGAGGTAATCACATTTTGGAGATTCAAGATATATCCAAGGTAGATATAAACTGCTATCAATTTTTAGACTGCCTTTGATACTACACCTGAATTTTTTATATCACTACATTATTATGATTGGAGGTTAGAATTACCACACAGATTACTTGTCGAAGTTACCCTTATAACAAGAACAGGTAAATAATTAAAATTATCATTTTTAAAAGATTTCTATTGAACACTCTTGCAGTAGCTGCTTCTTAACTTTTTGCAATAAGAATTTAATTGTTTGCATTTTAGGATTCTAGAATTTCTGTTATAACATTCTAATAAAATAATGTATACGAACTTTAAACTGGTATAGGGGATAGAACAATAGCGTTTTCAAAAAATCAAGAGTTTAAAGATGCAACAAATGGATCAATATCTTTGAATTGTGTGAAGCATATAAAGAGTAATCGAATAGTGGAAGTCAAAGTAAATTGTTAATATATACAATTTTAGATTGAATAAGTATAATCATAAAGTATTGATTTTTCTGTTAGTATTTATTAAGATTCATAAATAGAATATGTAAGATTTAATATTTTATTGGGTACGGATCAATCATTAGGGTCATCTTCTGTTTAAGCTGAAATTTTCAATCCTCCATAATATGGAAATGTTTATGGAAACTATGATATTTAAGCAGACAAGCAACTTTTCTGATACCTTCAACATTCTTGAATTAAGATAGACTTCCCATATTCACTTATAGAGGTTAAAAATTTGATAAAAGTGCTAATGTAAGATGTTATGTAATTAATGGTCCTTAAACTCCTAATTTAAGATATCATTTATTTATATGTATGATAATTTTATCATACATTAGGCTTTTTTTGTTCAACCTTATTGTGCAGAGTTCTTTTCTTATTGCAATTACAATGGTGAATCTTTTGTTATTTGTAATAATAATCCAGATTTATTATAACGTGGATGGACGAAATCAGTCAAATCCTTAATGAATTTCACTTAAAAGAAATTATATCTTTTTAATTAGATTAATTATTAGGGTTAGGAATAAAAAATTATACAAAATTAACAATGTATGGAATCTCAATCTATAATATCTGTTAAATTATAGTCTTTAACTTCTGCAATAAAAGTAATATTTATCAATTCCAATTTAAACAACAATAATTCCAAATATGTGTATTTTTATAGCTAATGCAATTATTAAGGCACTGTTTTATTAAATTAAACAGTGATAGTAATTAGACCGATCAAACAAGATTCCTTTTGAAATTAAGTCAATTATCATTTGTTCAAATATTATTCTAAAATTGAGAGACTCATCATATTTTTGGGGTTGTAACAAAGCATTTAGTTCTTCATAGGCTTGTTTATATAGCTATAAAATATCATTAACCATAATTCATTTTAATTTCCTGCATACAGAACACCAAATTGAACTTAAAAACATATGTAGCTTATATATAAACTATTTTATAATAATTTCTAATTATCCTGTTAGAAAAATATGTTTGAATTTATAAGACATTTATAAAATGGGATTTTGAATTTTCTAATTTATTCCTTTCCTGTAAAATTTCTAAATGAGTTGTTATAAATATAAAGAATTATTTGATACAAAAATAGTCAAAATTAAATGTTTTCATTAAAAAAGTTGGTATTATTTAAATTTTTATAAATGATATAGATATCAATTATTTTCTTCTAGAAAATTTATTGTATGTACTGAAACTTAATAAAGTATCATCAATAAAAAGAAATTAATAATATTAAAATTAATTAATTTTATTTTCAAACTATCAACTTAAATTCTCAAATGATAAGGGAAGATTTATTTAACTATTTGCCATTTTGTAAAGTTTGATAGCATATTAAGACTATCTGGGTTTTTAAAATTTGGATCAAGATAAATAGCTTTCATAACAAATAATTACATTTATGTAGTTTTTCAATTTAAATATTTAACAAATACTAAAATCTTCTAAGTTAATATAATAATGAAATTCCTAAACCTTTAAATTTATAAGTTAATTCTAAGTTGGGATCATATTAAACTGCTTTAAAGAAGATAATCAATGCTACTTCATATCATTTAAGATAAATTAAAAATTGAATAATAAAAAGTATACCTGTATTGTTAGAGAAATCACCATTATATGTGAATTACTTAATCATCATAAATACATAAGTCTTCAAATTATCATAATAGTTCTAAAAAATTCATAGAACATATTGACACTAGATTCATTAGATATAGACCTTTAAAGAATAACTAATAATTTAATTCTTTGAGTTATCGCAAATATTTACATATCTCAATGAGTTTTGTTTCATTA